AGAACAGTGAGCTGATGAACAGGGTTGCTGCTGTTGCTGCAGCTGCTAAGTCACTTCAGTCGTGTCCGACTCTGTGCGACTCCATAGATGGCAGCCCACCAGGCTCCCCCATCTCTGGGATTCTCCAGGCAAGAATACTGGAGTGGGTTGCCATTTCCTTCTCCAATGCATGAAAGTGAAAAGTGAAAGTGTAGTCGCTCAGTCGTGTCCAACTCTTAGCGACCCCATGGACTGCAGCCTACCAGGCTCCTTTGTCCATGGGATTTTCCAGGCAAGAGTACTGGAGTGGGGTGCCATTGCCTTCTCTGTTTTTAAGCTTAATAACTCATATTTTTTAAAAAAAATTTAATGAGGTATGGTTGATACACAATATTATGTAAGTTTAAGATATACAATATAGTGACTGACAACTTTTAAAGGTTATATTCCATTTTAGTTATTACAAAATATTGGCTATATCCCATGTTGTACTATATATCCTTGCAGCTTATTTTATATATAGCAGTTTGTACCTCTTAATTCCTTACCCATATCCTGTTCTCGCCGCACTTTCCTCTCCCTACTGGTAACCACTCGTGTTTTCTCTGTATCTGTGAGTATGTTTCTTTTTTAAAAATTATATTCAGTAACTGTATTTTTGAGATTCCACATATAAGTGATATTATATAGTATGCATATTTCTGACTACTTTCACTTAGCATAGCACCCTCCAGGTCCATCCATGTTGCTTAAATTTTCATTATTTTTCATGGCTGAGTAGTATTCCACTGTATTTAAATATTTATTTGTCTGACTGTGCTGGCTCTCAGTTGTGGCATCTGGGATCTTCAATCTTCATTGCGGCAAGCAAACTCTTAGTTGCAGCATATGGGATCTGGCTCCAACCAGGGATTGAACCTGGTACCCCTGCACTGGGAGTGTGGAGTCTTAGCCACTAGACCAATAGGTAAGTCCCTTATTGTATTTATATATACCACATCTTCTTTATTCATTCACCTGTTAATGGACACTTAGGTTGCTTCCATATCTTAGCAATTGTAAATGCTACTAATATTGGGGTGCAAGTATCTTTTCAAATTAATGTTTTTCGTTTTTTCAGATAAATAACCAGGAGTAGAAGTGCTGGGTCTTATGTTAGTCCTAGGTTTTTTCTTTTTTTTTTGCAAAACCTTCACACTGTTCTCCATAGTGGCTGCACCAATTTACGTTCCCACTAAGTATAAGAAGGTTCCCCTTCCTCCACATCCTTGCCAATATTTTTTATTTGTGGTATTTTATGATGATAGCTATTTTGACAAATATGAAGTGATATCTCATTATGCTTTTAATTTATCTGATTATCATGATGTTGAGCATCTTTTCAAGTGATGATGGCCACTGGTATGACTTGTTTAGGAAAAAAATGTCTATTTGGATCTTCCGCCCATTTTTTAATCAGTTTTTTTTTACATTGAGTTGTAAGAGCTGTTCGTATATTTTGGATACAACCCTCTACTGGCTGTATCATTTGCAAATATTTTCTCCCATTAAGTCGTTGTCTTTTTATTTTGTTGATGATTTCCTACGCTGTGCAAAAGCTTTTAAATTTAATCAGGTGCCATTTGTTTCTTTTTGTTTCCACTCTCTTTGCTTTAGGAGAGCTCATCCAAAATATTGCTACAATTTATGTCAAAGGGTGTTCCACCTATGCTTTCTTCTTGAAGTTTTGTTTCTGGTATTACATTTAATTCTTTTTTTTTCATTTATTTTTATTAGTTGGAGGCTAATTACTGTACAATACTGTAGTGGTTTTTGCCATACATTGACATGAATCAGCCATGGATTTACATGTGTTTCCTATCCTGATCCCCCCTCCCGCCTCCCTCCTCATCCTTAATTAGTGTTTGCATATGGTGTTAGAGAATATTCTAATTTTATTCTTTTACATGTACTTGATCAGTTTTCCCAGCACCACTTATTGAAAAGACTTTTTTCCCATTATATATTCTTGCCTACTTTGTCACAGATTAATTGACTGTAAGTGCATGGGTTTATTTCTTGGCTCTCTGTTCTGTTCCACTGATCTACACCCTTGTTTTTGTGCCAATTCCATGCTGTTTTGATTACTCTAGCTTTTTAGTACAGTCTGAAGTCAGAGCATGTGATTCTTCCAGCTTCCTTCTTTCTGAAGATCATTTAGTTATTTAGGGTCTTCTATGTTTCCATACAAATTTTAGAAATATTTAGTTGTGTGAAATAAATGCCCTTGGTATTTTGATAGAGATTGCATTGAATCTGTAGCCTGCCCTGGTTAGTATGGTCATTTTATAAAATTAATTTTTCCAATCAATGAACATGGCATATCTTTCCACCTGTTCGAATTACCTTCAATTTCTTTCATCAGTGTCTTATAGTTTTCCAAATACAAACCTTTAACCTCTTTAGGTAAGTTTATTCTTAAGTATTTTATTATATTTGATGAGATGGTAAATGGGATTGTTTTCTTAATTTCTCAGATAGTTCATTGTTAGTGTGCAAATAAATAACAGATTTCTCTGTATTAATTTTGTATCCTGCAACTTTACAAATTTAGTGATAAGCTCTAGTAGTTTTGTCAGTGTCATCTTTAGGATTTTCTGTGTACAGTGTATCATCTGCAAACAGTGACTGTTTTACTTCTTCCTTTCCAATCTGGTGGCTCAGACGGTAAAGTGTCTGTCTATAATGCAGGAGACCAGGGTTCGATCCCTGGGTGGGGAAGATCCTCTGGAGAGGGGAATGGCAACCCACTCCAGTACTCTTGCCTGGAAAATCCCATGGGAGGAGCCTGGTAGGCTACAGTCCATGCGATCACAAAGAGTCGGACACGACTGAGTGACTTCACTTCACTTCTCCCAATCTGGATTCCATTTATTCCTTTTTTTCTTTTGTCTGACTGCTGTGGCAAGAAATTCCAAAACTATGCTGAATAAAACCGGCAAGAGTGGGCATCCTTGTCTTGTTCCTGATCTTAGAGGAAATGCTTTCAGCTTTTAACCACCAAGTATGATGTTTGCACTGATTTGCCATATATGGCCTTTATTATGTTGAGGTATGTTCCCTCTAGGCCCATTTTCTGGAGTGTTTTTAAACATAAATGAAAGCTGAACTTTGTCAAAACCTTTTCCTCCATCTATGGAGATGACATGTGGTTTTTATTATTCAACTTGTTAATGTGGTGTATCACATTGATTGATTTGTGTATACTGAGAAATTCTTGCATCCCTGAGATAAATCCCACTTGATCATCATGTATGATCCTTTTGATGTATTGTTGGATTTGATTTGACAATATTTTGTTGAGTATTTTCACATCAATATTCATCAGTTATAATGGCCTATAATTTGTATATGTGTATAATTATCTTTGTTAGTTTTGATCTTATGGTGATTCTGGCCATGTAGAATGAGTTCAGCAGTGTTCTTTCCTCTGCAATTTTTTGGAATACTTTAAGAAGCATAAGTGCTGTCTCAAAATGTTTGGTAGCATTCATCTGTGAAACCAGCTGGTCATGAACTATTTGTTGGGAATTTTTTGTCACTAATTCAATTTCATTATTTATAGTTGATCTGTTCATATTTTCTACTTCTTCCTGAGTCAGTCTTGGGAGTCTACTGTTGATTCCTTTTAGCATACGTTTTTAGGATTTGCCTATTTCTTCAATGTTGTCCCATTTTTTGACATATAGCTGTTTGCAGTAATCTCTTATGGTCCTTAGTATTCCAGTAGCATCAGTTGTAACCTCTCCTTTTTCATTTCTGACTTTATTGAATTGGATATTTTTTTTCTTGATGAATCTGGCTAATGGTTTATCAATTCAGATTATCTTTTCAAAGAACAAGTTCTTAGCTTCACTGATCTTTTCTATTGTATTTTTTAAGAGTCTATTTCATTTATTTCTGCTCTGATTTTTATGATTTCTTCCCTTTGACTAATTTTGGGTTTTTGTTTGTTTTTTCCAAGATAGGGAAGTTTTCAGCTATTATGTCTTCAATTATGTTCTCAGCCTCTTTCTCTCTATTCTGTGGGGATCCTAAAATGCAAATAAAAATGAGTTTGATGTTGTCTCAGAAGTCTCTTAAAAATATCCTCATTTCTATTCATTGTTTTCTCTTCAACATCACTGATTTCCACTACTCTGCTTTCCAGCTTCAGATCCATTCCTCTGTATCATTTAGTCTACTACATTGATTTTAGTGCATTTTTCATTTCAGTTACTGTATTCTTCATCTATGTTTGGTTGTTCTTTTTATTTTTTCTTTGTTAAAAACTTCTAACTTATCAGTCTGTGCAGCCATTCTTTTCCTAAGTTCTTTGGTCATTTTTATGATGATAAACTCTTTCTTGGTTAGATTTCATATCTCCCACTTCACTTAGTTCTTCTTCTGGGGTTTTTTATCTCAATCCTTTGTTTGGAACACGGTCCTGTGTTGCCTCATTGTGCCTAACTAGCTGTTTTTGTTCTTTATGTATCTGTCAGGTTGGTTGTGTTTTCCAATCATGAAGAAGTAATCTGTGTTCCAGCAGTGCACTCTCCTCTCATCAAAAGCTATATGCCTTAGGAGTTCCCCCTATGAGGGCATGGGTCTTTCTGTTTTGGCAGACTGACTGTGTAGGTGGTCTGGTAGGCTTGGTTGGCCCCTGATCTGTTTGGTTGCCAGGTGCTTCCTTGTGCAGAGGCTGCTGGCCATTGATTGATGGAACCAGGTAATGAGGTGGTTGACTGTAGAGGCCTTGTGGCTAGTTCTGAGTAGTGTCAGCATCCAGAAGATCCCAGGGCAAACAGGTATTTTTTAAAGTCAGTAAGTTTGTGGTAATTTGTTAAAAAAGAAAACTAACAGTGAAGTACAAATTTTGAAAAGATTTCTCCAAGACATTCCAGTTTGTTGTTTTCAACATTTGTGTGAACACTGGTATTTGCTTTTTTGTAGTCACAGATCTACTAGTCATTGTTAAAAGTTAGGAATATAATTCAAGTCATTCAGTCCTGTAGCTTCAGGGACTGAAACCAGCTTTGGCTTCTAAAACGTACAGTTCCTTTTGGGGCATCAGCCTTAATCCATTTTTCATGTTTGCTTGTTTGATTCAGGAATCCTGAAACACAAAATTGCATAAAGTTATATCCTGATTGACAAGAGCAATACTGACAACATATATCCTAACAATATATCTCTAAAACTAAAAAACATTCTAAACAGCAAAAATCTTAGTAAAGACAGCCTTAATTGGAAGAGTTGCAAAGAGGTTAGTTACCTGGGCTTGTTCTTTCCTTTCTTTTCCTCAAAACAACATGGAAAGGGAAACCACTCTGTTTTTTATGTATTCATTTTTGTATGCAGGTTTTAAAAAGAGCTTTATTTAAGTATAACTGACTAAATAATACATGTATTTAAAGTATGTAATGTAATAAGCTTTTACATACGAAAAAGTCTGAAAAACCATCCTCAAGAGGTTTGACAGAAAACAACAAAATTCTGTAAAGCAATTATCCTTCAATTAAAAAAAAAAGATAATGAACATATCCACACTCCCAAAAGTTTCCTTGTGTCCCTTTGTAATATTTCCCTCCTGCCCTGCCATGCCTGTCGTATCTGCACCTCTTCCAATCTCTCAACAATTACTAACCTACTTTGTGTCACTATGAATTAGTTGCATTTTCTAAGATTTTAATAAATAGAACCATACAATATGTACCCTATGTAGTCTTTTAAAAAATATCTAGGTTCTTTCAGCATAATTATTTTGAGGTTTGTTCACACTGTGGCATGTTTCAGGTGGTTTCCTTACACACATGCTGATCCATACTTTGCTAAGTAGTCATGGGCACCCTGTATAACTCGGCTCAGTCTGGAACTTTCTCTTGTTAACTCTAGCAGCCCTTACCTCTTCCATGTGGTGAATATGCTGGGCTCTGCCTGTGTTACCCCTCTCCCTGCCCTACAGCGTGGAAACCCTCAAGCCAATAGGCTGTGGCAATCATTGTGCTCACCTATTTATTTTGCCATCTCTAGTCTTCTAGTTCTTTTTTCTTTCAATCAAGGTAGTTAAGATGTTATACCTCTGGAGCTACACTGCAATTCTGGACTTAAGAAACCAGTCAAATCTGAACTGAGGAATATTGTGAATACACTGTCTCAATTCATCATATACATTTTCTTTGTTGAATCCAAGCACACAAATCAGGAAACAAACTCTCTTCTCAACTACAGTTTTTTCCTTCCTTAGTATATATGATGTTCCCACCTGCTGAAAAGGTACTTTGTACCATTCAGTCTTTGTGTCAAGACTTGGTATCTTTCTTTGATACAAACTCTCTGAATTCTTGCCTCTCCCCTTTGATCTGAGACATAATCTTTTCTATTTCTTTATTGCATCTTTAGCAAAAGACAGTTGAGTATTCAATGACTTCCTCTGGAGATTTTTCCTTCCATTTCTTTTGCTGTATTTCCAGTATCATCATATCCCAATTTCTCATGAAATGCTTAATCTTTGTCATATCTTTGTGTTAGAGGCTTCTCTTTCTCTTCTAATCTTCATTATTAAGGGATTCACAATTTTGTCAGTTTTAATCTCTTCGTCTTTTTGTGCCTGTACTGTATTTAATAGATCATGATTTCAAGGTATCTATAACCAACAGTTTTTCTCTAGTATAAATTTCTTTTTCTAGTAATTAAAACAAACATAGAGGAAAGAACTGGTAATTCTGAATCAGTTCAGTTCAGTTGCTCAGTCATGTCTGACTCTTTGTAACCCCATGGACTGCAGCACACCAGGCTTCCCTATCCATCACCATCTCCCGGAGGTTGCTCAAACTCATGTCCTTGAGTTGGTGATGCCATCCAACCATCTCAACCTCTGTCGTCCCCTTCTCCTCCTGCCTTCAATCTTGCCCAGCATCAGGGTATTTTCCAGTGAGTCAGTTCTTCACATTAGGTGGCCAAAGTATTGGAGCTTCAGCTTCAACATCTGTTCTTCCAATGAATATTCAGGACTGATTTCCTTTAGGATTGACTGATTTGATCTCCTTGCAGTCCAAGGGACTTTCAAGAGTCTTCCCCAACACCACAGTACAAAAGCATGAACTCTTTGGTAATTCTGAATACCAGTTGTTAAAACAACCAGGAATAATTAGAACTATTATTTTTTTACACATTTTAGCAACAATAGTAAACTGTCAAAAATAGTAAGGGTTTCCCAAATACCTAAGATCTTTTGTTGTTCAGTTGTTGTTTGTGACCCCATGGACTGCAGCATACCTGTTCTTCCCTGTTCTTCACCATCTCCTGGAGTTTGCTCAAACTCATGCCCATTGAGTCAGTGATGCCATCCAACCGTCTCATTGTCTGTCATCCCCTTCTCCTCCTTTCCATAAGCAAGCAACTCATGATTGGGGAGGTAAAATCTTTTAAAAAGTAAGACCTTTTACCTCCCCAATCATGAGTTGCTTGCTTATGGAAAGAGAAGCCAAATCTACCTATTTCCTCTATTCCTGCAGCAATAGAGACCATGCACAGTGCTATTACTACTAACAAACTGAACACACAAGTGATTGAAGCTTATGGAAAATACTCACAAGCAAGACAGTTTATAAAGTTCCACTTAGCTTGCTGGAAAAGAGCTTTTCTTGCCAATAAGTAATTCACTAAAAGCTCTGAACTTTGGGTTGAATCTGTGGAGACACTAATTCTAATTTATAAAGTTTATAAATTCCTTCCTACAAAAATCTTGTAACATGGATTGGAACTTGGGGTTGCAGAAACCTTGTTCCTTTTTAAATTCCCTTTGCCAATGAAAATCAGGCAATATTTTTTGACCAGGAAATGGGAAATGACTACTCTATCCCCATGTGGCTTGGCTTCTATTAATTGGGAAAAAAGTTTATTCTCAGGATGTTTTTAAACTTATGCATTTGCTCTCAAAATCTGCCATGTTCAAATTTACCCAAGTATATAAATATTCAAGTTGTACATTTATATGATTGATTGATTTCCAAATACCTAATTGAGAGGTGTTACACATTATTTAACCCAAAATGAACCTGATCTAATCAGCACTAGCCATGGACAAAGATAAGGCTGTAAAGAGTAACTGGCAATATTTCTGTCTCTTGTTTAAAAATAGGCTTAAGCATCTTCGCTAAGGTGAGCTTCTTCCTGCTACCCACCCCACCACTCCCTACTCCAAACCCTGTAACTGACTTTGTTTACTTACATTGGGTTCAGAGGGATAATTCTGGTGCTGTCTTATTAGGAACCAATTAAATTTCAGTGCATCACAGTTGGAGGATTCCCTCTTTTACATTATAAACACTAATGACCGCCCAAAGTGGGAAGCACCATGCTAAGTATCTTAGGGAAGTTTAAACAATGTAAAGAGACATGCTAAAATCCTCAAGAAGCTCACCAGCTGGCTAGGAAAATAAATTATACACTTAAGAAAAAGCATGAAAATAATTACTTTGAAGTCTTATTATTTTATGTATTTCACAAACAAAAGCTCTAATACCAAACACAAGCACATAACCAAATATTTTAATGTTGTCAACATTCTTAAACTGTTTACATACAGGCTTCCCTTGACAGAAGTGCAACCCAGGACATCTTAACAAATTTCTACAAGAAAGTATTTTTGCGCTAGTTTTAATGCTGCCCATCATTGTATTTTCTCTTAATTATCATGGAAAATGACAAAGTCAACAGTAGACTAGGCTTTGAGCAAGTATACAACTAATCAGTTTTGCCCAAGAAATATTATTCTGTGTCTAATTCCACCAACTGTATTTCTCATCTCAGATAATCCAGCTTTCATTTCTAGAAATTCAATTTTAGTCTGGCTATTTTCACTCAGCATAATGCCTTCAGGTTCTAGCAAATTTGTATTAATAGATCATTCTCTTTCATTATTGAACAGTACTCCATTGTATGGACATATCACACAGTATGTGTGACAATTTACTGGTAGAAGTATATTTTAGTCATTTCAAGTTTTGGGCTATTGCAAATAAAGCTATGAATACTTGTGTACAGGTTTTTACATGAAACAGTAAGCTTCATTTCTCCAAGGTAAAAGCTCAGGAATGTCATATGGATCATATGGTAGTTTCACACTTAGTTTTCTTTTTTTTTTTTAACAAAATGCCAGACTTAATTCAGTGGCTATATTATTTTACACACCCAACAGCAATGCAGGAGAGACCCAATCTCTCCACATCCTTGCCAGTATTTGATATTATCAGTATTTCTTATTTTGGCCATGCTAATAGGTATGTAGTAACATCTCATTCTGGTTTTGATTCATATTTTAATTCATATCTCATGACTAGCGATATTGAACATGTTTTTGTGTTTTTACTTGCTATCTTAAATTTTCTATGGCTGTACTGTTTCTTAAATTTTACATTATTAAACTTCTATGTGCACAAATCTTTTTTTTCTTCATTACTGGGAAGAGTTTCCTCAGGGTAAGATTTGGCTACAGTTCAGTCTTTCTTGAATGACCAAAATAAACATGAAAACAAAAACAATTTAAAAAGAAACAAACCTAGGCATCACACACAGAGTTCACAGTCTCTAAGACTGGGGTCTGCACTTTGATCTCTAGTCTAGGGAGTCAGCGAATTATGGCCTACAGGCCAAATCTGGCCTGAGGCCTATTTTTATAGCCTAAGAGCTAAGAATGACTTCTACATTTTTAAAGGGTTATAAAAAACAAAAGAGAATACACAACAGAAACCATATGTAGCCTGAAAAATCTAACATTTACAATCTGTCCTTAACAGGTAAAGTTTGCGGATGAATAGAAACAAAACCTGATCTTCCTTTTTTGGTACACATTAACAAACAAAGCTGATGTCTATCTATTACACTCCCAGGATCTTAAACTTTAATAAAATGGAGAAACAAAATACCATAAAAGCACAAATAATCTGAAGGCAGTTTCTACATTTACTCTGTCAAAGTATTTTTAAGCAGCCAGCCATAAACCTATAGCATTCTTCAATGTTACCAAATTTCTTCCTTGTCATCCTGAAGCACATCTACATGACTGACAAATCAATATTTCTCCAAATGCTATAAACTGGAAGAAAACCAAAA